GGTGTGTTCTCTTTCGACGGTTGGGCGACACGTGTTGTTTTCGGACTACGCTGGGCACTAGAGACACATCTGCACGCTTCGGCACTCCACAGCGAACTGTCTGACCTAAAATGGCATGAACAAATCCGATGGTACCGTGCGCTACCCATCACTAGCTTTCCTCCGACACAGTATCGTCACTCAATTTCACTTCTGCATCGTTGGAAAAGTCAACTACTAACTCTAAAGCTAACGCCTAACATGGCAGTCTAAGCATAACGCGAGAGTCGGTCTCGGTATTGTCGAGCATACATTTCCTCTACTAAATATCTTATACTGCTACGTCCACTAATACATTAAATCCAATTATAAGAGCCCTGCTCTAACGTACATGTCTATCTTATCTTCGTGCGATATCTATCTATCTATGCTCATCAGTGTAATCTAAGTGTTGGAAATATATAATTTATAATTCTGTGAATCACAGTGTTATACAAACTCAATCACCCCTATTATCTCAACGGAAATCAGGGGATCGATCAATTCGTGGTGTCGATTGTTATAATCGTAACGGGAATTTACGACTCCCGTTGACGTTTCTCCTCGCGATTACGTCTCCCCGCGATTGGCCGAATAAACAGTAGAACTTGACGAACACTTGAAACACTGGCACTAATACTACATTTCTCCATTATTTGTTTCGTTGTTAACTGCGAGTTGGAAGCTACGATCGGATAATGATGACGGCCGACCAGTATTTTTCTTTTTGCCATAATCTTCAACATTTTTTAAGAAATTGTGTATTATTCTACGACTTCTTCTTATTACTTTCGATATGTATACTGCTGATAACCGTTGCTGTTTTAGTTCAAGAATTTGTTTTTTTTTCAGACTCGTTCAATTTTTTTCCGCGTCCCATACATACAAATTTATATAATATTGTACTGTAATTTTTACTCGTTGATAGATCATGAGTAATGACTACTGAGTAATTTCAGTGCAGTATTTCTTTATTGTATACAAACATCTACGACATTGTGACTTATTTCCAGCAAGCCGCATATTCTGAGCTCATGTTTTGATATAATACGTTACAGACGAAAAACTTTACATGCGTCATTGAGAAATTAAAGATAGCACACCTGGGTTATCTTTTTGACGAGGAGTGTATATACACGGATGAGTAGGGAGATTGTTGATGCAATATTAAGAAAGTCAACCAAGAAATGTGCATTGAGAATGAGGGTCTTTAGCAGCGAACAATCGTACTATACGCAAACTTATTTTCCAAGGCTTTTGATGAGAGAAACGTGCGTATGTACGGCATGAAGAGAAATATGCATTCACAATAGCGGTGATCAGCGTAAGGTAAGGGCGAAAAAACAAAAATTACTTAAAGGTTTAATTAAATATTGGAAATAAATTGCTTTTTTTGTATTGATTATAGAAGCAACAATCAGGATACCAAAAGGAACTAACAGCAACGATCATCTTGGAAATGATTATACAATACGATAAAAACTGAGACTATTTATTATAAAATAATTATATAACATGTATGTAGGAAGAATTTCAATGAATCAGAGTAATAGCATTTTACAATATTGTTATCTATCCTTTTCGCTATACAGATCTACAAAATCTTACAAAAAATCAAAAAATAAAATACGCGAAATTTAAAGGCAAATTGTATAAAAAAGACCATGAAATAGCTTTCGAAAATTCAGAGAAATGATGTCAAATTCTAAAAATTATCGAAATAGTGCCACTTCTTGTAAGATTATATTATTTTAATACAAAATCGAGATTCTGATAAATAATTTATCGCTAAACCAAAAATTTCAACTTCGAAAAATTCCTGGAATACATCATTTTCAAGGATTGGCGAAATTGTACCACCTCCTATATTAATATTTAATTTTCTCAGAGAAGATCACGTCGTTTCCAAGAATTTAAAAAAGTTTCGAATACCTCTCATGATATTTTATTCTCTTAATACTTATCAATACTTACCAATTTTCTCGAAATCTTTTGTCTCTTTTTATAACTTATTCTTTAAACTTATGAAAATTGAAAAAGATTTGAGGATCGTGGATATTGAAAAGATTTTATATGGTTAGACGTCCATTTGCAATATTAAATTGTTTTATTTAATTCAATTCATAAGCAATAATAGTACAATTTTACAATGAGATCTTAATTTTGTGTATAATAATCTAATAACTTAAAACTACTCTAGTATGGCGTTGCGGTTCCGCTGCACATTTTCTAAACGTCTGATTTTAGCCAATTTCGTACTTTTGGTTGAATTTCTGCAATGCTCTCCGGCGATCACCCTACTTATCTCCAGTATATGTCGTAACACTGTATCTGTTCATATGCACGTGTTAGTTCTAGGTTCTATGACGTAATACCGTATCATAACCTATATTTCGATTGTTTTTGTAACTAGTGCTCTTCAAAGCAATAATATAGACTAATATTTTCAAATAATGACTGTCAAAAATGAAAAAAATGAAAAACAATCAGATTCTGAGAAACGTAATAATATTGAAGAAATAGAATATTCTGATCTTTATCCAGGCAGAAAAAATCAAAGTGGCGAAAACCAATCCCGTACTTGGTTTGATGTAATTACTTTTAATGAAAAAAGGAAAAATTACGAGAAGATAAACTGTGAAATCAATGTTTATAACTGTGTAAAAAAGAGTAAGATTCTTCTATCTATTTCTAAACATTTTTTTAATAAGTTTGTTCTACTTTGGTTATTATTGTACTACATGGTTATTATATTTTTCAAGTCTCAACTGTGCTCAACAGGAATATTATTTTGACATTAAAAATAAACAAAAATTTATATTACAAAGAAAAACAAAATTTTCTACATATTTTTCTTAAATTAAAAACTGTAATTATGAAAAAGTTTCTCTGAAGCAAAATTGGAAAACTCATATTTAATATTATAATTTTGCTTGTATACAAATATTAATATATATATATGTTTATATCACTTATATTATACAGTATATGCTATATATTAATCAAAGAATTATGTAAGTAATAAATTATATATATTTTAGGTCCTCTAGTGAAACTAATGTTAGCAGCATTAAAAAGTTCAGGATGGTAAGTAATATTTAGATTTTATATACTTTCTTATTCTGTTATATTCTAGGAAGTAAATAAGTGATAGATAATTTCAGCGAAGTTGATCTTGGTCGTCATATTTCATGTGAAGTATGTGATAATACAGTTACTGGTGGTTATGATCCTGACACAAATCAGGTAAATGTTATTAAAAATCTTTGTATGTATCAATATGTAAGTAATATAAAATATTTCATATTTTTTAGATTATAATTTGCCAAAACACTGCTAGGAGCAGAAATCGAGTTCAAAGCACTTTAAGTCATGAGATGATACATATGTTTGATTATTGCCGTAACAAACTTGATCTAAACAATATAGATCATTTAGCTTGTACGGAAATAAGAGCAGCTAATCAATGTCATTGTAGTTTTCTTGGTGCATGGTATCGAGGAACTGCTTCACCTTTTCATATTAAAAAGGCACATCAGGTAAGTATTGTACATATATTGTACATATTGTACAAAATATTCCCCTTCATGCAAATAAAATATATTAATCCCATTTTACATTATAGAATATATTATAATCATATTATACAATTGTTATTATAGTTATATTTTTGCTTTAGGACTGTGTTATGGACAAGGCTGTTAGGTCACTAATTGCTATAAAAAATATACCAAAGGAGGAAGCAATGGACGCTGTGAGGCGAGTTTTTACCAAGTGTTATAATGATTTAGAACCCATTGGAAGACGACTTCGACGAAATTCAATGGATATGGAGAAAGCATACTATGAGGGGCCATATTATGGATATTCAGAATAAAATATATTTTTTATAAAAGTGCTCTCAGGTTATGCACCTCAAAATAGTACACTTACTAAGAAATAATATGATTTTATTATATCATTTTAATACTCGCCTATGAAAATAGTTGTTATCATTCTTATTATTCTCATTATGATAGTGTATTTAATTGTATATTTATTCTGTATATACATCTAACCTTTAATGATAATTTCGAAGATCTCTATATGAAGCAAGAAAAATATGATTTTTGTTGATAATTTTATGCGAGAAGTTTTCGAAGACAAAAACATCTTTGAATCGAGACTTTAGCATAAAAATTTATTTATTTATGCCATAATAGGCATGAAGTATAGCTTGGCGATGCCTAAGATTCATATCGTTTGCCGAATCGTGTATGCAGAAATCCTTGAGGTCGGGGGGACTCGAGTGTGCGTCGATGGACTGTAGTTTCCAGGAGGTAGGAAAAGATGGTGTAAATTTCTGATGTAACAGTCGTCTGGAGCGATTCTACTTTTAGCCTATCTACGTATCTACCTACCTACGACGGGCGTGACGATATGAGTGTCCTCAGTTATTTTGGATGGCTTTTCCACAGTTCAGGTTTCCGCAACTGACTCTTACGATCGATGTAATGCATCTTCAATATTGAGCTATTAGTAATAATTAAAACTAAGGTACAGAATTGCTTCCACAGCGTGCGGATCTCCTCACTCCCGTCACCTGAGTTACGCGGTGGACCTCTTTGCAACTCAAATTTACGAGCACTTAATTTATAATTTCTATTTCTCTCTACTTCGTCGCCTGAATAGAATCTTCAACTATTAACAAGAACTTATATTAAAATCCTTATATTCAATAATAAAGAATCCAAAACTGATATGATTATTACAAATCTTATATGCTATAAGATATATTAACAATGGTAATGCTAACGCTAAGAATTGATAACGCAATGAAAATAGCAACACATACGAGGTTTCACAATGAAAGAATGAGTTAGGCCTAGTAATACAGGTCGTTTTATACCCTGCTCATCGCTGTACGTCAGGTGCTTCATGTACGTCTACATGAAGATGCAGCTCCTCCTTGATGGATGTTGATATTAAGATTGACAATGGGGCTCGCGTTCGCATACCTGGATCTCGGATGTCATATACGAAGAAGCGAGAGATAAAAAATTACTTATGTCGGTAAAACAGCAAGGCGTCGGTAGGCCGACATCACAACGTACTCTGCCGGTAATTATGTACTGCTATCTATCCGTATATACTCTAAATTACTGTTACTTTTGATCCAATAGATGGCAATACATGATTTGTCCATAGACAAGCAACACGATAGTGCGAGATAAAAATAGACATATACGGTGTATGAAACAATAAGCGCAATAATGTGAGACAAGGATAGACGTATATCGCGTGTGGTACAAAGAGCGAAATATTGTGTAATAAAAGTGGATATATATGTATGCATATATATCCTACATATATGCTCGTGTTAGACAAGGGCATTAGTACCGATCAATCAGGAACAAGTGTACACGATCGCGAAGTGGTATTTGCTTCCTACTTTACGAAGAAGAATTTCATTTTGCAAAACAGAAATTACATTGCAAAAAATAAATACGTCACATCATTGAAATTCAATATCGAAGATACTACGAAAAATAATAAAAATTCCTTTTTCCTAATAAATTTTTATAATATTTGCGTGTTCAATATTTAGGATATATGATGATAGATGATTTTCATTGAAAATATAAAATGTTTCTGGGGTATCGATAAAATATTAATAGAATAAGGAATTTGATAGGCAAGAATGAGCTGCACAGAAGGTTGGATTTTTGTTGCTCCCATTCAACAGGCAGTAATTACAGACATCATAAACGCTTGCCAAGCCCAGAGTTTAGAATGAGCGCTTGAAGAAAAGTTTCCGCGCTAATTTTTCCCTCAAATTGGAGAAGTTTAATTGCTTCTAAAAGATATTTGACGATTTTCCTAGATCTTGAATATTCTATTCGACGTTCCTGTTTCTCTATCTCGGTGTTAATTTTTAGGAATTCTAGTAAATAAAATCTTTGTAGCTTCTTATGTATATTTATTTATTTAATTTTAGTTGTATCTTTTGGTAGATGTAGGATCCTTGTTAACTGAAGAAACATAATATATATTTATATCACTCGAAAATATTTCTAGCTATAAATGTGGAACATTATTATAAATTAATATCCGCTTACGAAGATTTACAAAAAGAGCAAAATTGTATTTTCTGAAAATTTATTTCGCTTTTGTACTGATAATTTTGTCTTTTAATCTCAAAATAGATTGATTTCATGGAGAAGTAGATGGATTACCATAGCAGATGGAAACGAATGCGTTTCTGTAGGAATAAAAATAATTACAGCAAACACTAGTTGATGTATGAGCGACTGCAGTAGATTTAATAAGATAACAATCTTTCAATTTTTTTTTAACACATTTTATTTCGAGTCAACTATTTTTATTAGTTGAACATAATATATTTCAATTATGTTCGTTCTTAATTTTCGCTATACTATTCTATATTCTATATTCTATATTGAATTACTAGATTCAAAATATTCTTTGTAAAATTTTAATGGAAACGTGGAAACTCTACGAAATGATAGTACAATAATCAATGTTAATTTTCTATTGCGAGGTAATTTTTGCAATAATAAATTATTATACAAAAGTAAAAGATCAGAAAATATAAAGTCTCTTTATTTTTCGTTTCCATTCATTAAACAGGACTCGCGAGACTATTCAAGTTAATTGGGCTGTCGAGATCACCGGGTATAACGGAGAAAGCATTCAATTAGTCAGTAGAACACGTGTTAAATATGAGCCGAGAAACACGAAGAAATAACTTATAGATGTTCGTTAAAAGAATATATTACGTCGTCAGCTGTAAACTTGTAGATTATGCTTTGTAATTTAATATTTCCACGCAAGGTGAATTTTTCTTTTCTGACTTTTTATATCGATCGTAATTTTGAATAATTATCTGCTACGTTGCATTAAAAAGGATTTAGTATCTCCTCTCGTAATAGCTTTTATTTTATTTAAACGAATATATGAAATTTCCCTACGAGGACAAAGGATTATCATTTGATTTCCATTTAACACTTTGATTTGAAATTGATAATTGTTACAAGTAGCCTATTATTAGGAAATAGAGTAGAATGTTAAAGAAATAAGAAATAAAGTGGAATTTAAGAGATATAGATGCATAGATCTTAAAACACATATAGCGTTAGAAAGAGAGAGAGAGAGAGAGAGAGAGAGAGAGAGAGAGAGAGAGATGTTGTCCTTAAATTTATTCTTAAATTATCTTAAGTTTCACGAAACTGCTATCTCTGAGAATACCCACTCCTCCGGATTTTGCCATTTTACTCTAATTGCCATACATAGCTCATCCGTTGTTTTATACTTTTTCTCTAAAACGATTATTACTATATATTGTTACCTTTGTTTTATTTTGACCGGAATTCATGTGGAATTTTCTGCTTCGAAGCGTTCGATATAGCCCTTTAAAACGAAAGATAGCATCGGCTGAGGTAAAAAGAAAAAGAAGAAGAAGAAGAAGAAGAAGAAGAAGAAGAAGAAGAAGAAGAAGAAGAAGAAGAAGAAGAAGAAGAAGAAGAAGAAGAAGAAGAAGAAGAAGAAGAAGAAGAAGAAGAAGAAGAAGAAGAAGAAGAAGAAGAAGAAGAAGAAGAAGAAGAAGAAGAAGAAGAAGAAGAAGAAGAAGAAGAAGAAGAAGAAGAAGAAGAAGAAGAAGAAGAAGAAGAAGAAGAAGAAGAAGAAGAAGAAGAAGAAGAAGAAGAAGAAGAAGAAGAAGAAGAAGAAGAAGAAGAAGAAGAAGAAGAAGAAGAAGAAGAAGAAGAAGAAGAAGAAGAAGAAGAAGAAGAAGAAGAAGAAGAAGAAGAAGAAGAAGAAGAAGAAGAAGAAGAAGAAGAAGAAGAAGAAGAAGAAGAAGAAGAAGAAGAAGAAGAAGAAGAAGAAGAAGAAGAAGAAGAAGAAGAAGAAGAAGAAGAAGGAGAAGAAGAAGAAGAAGAAGAAGAAGAGAGAAAATGTACGACACGGACCATGTGGGACATGATAAATCGTTCGGGTATCTCTTTTCTCCGATTGTCCGTGTAACATCGCCATCGTAGAGGCACGAAGTGCTACCATATTACTTCGTTTCGCTCGACCTGCTACTTTTTTGCCTCGTTTAAAAGAAATACGCCTTTACTTCCCATAACCTGGCGATCATTTTCAATCCTCTGCGAATTGTCACGTGTCAGCGCGCGAGCTGAAAATTGCATTTTCAATAATTCATCGAAACATACGTGTGTTACTCCAATCTGTGAAGGAACCGAATAAATTATTTCGTGAAAAGACAAAGTGAAAATCAAATGGAAAACTTGAAAATATAGTTTGTTTTAATAGCTGAAAAGATCAAGTTTTATGGAAAAGATCAAGCTCTGTGAATATAAAATATTGATATATATTGATCTAGGTGTAAAGTCCGAAGCTTTTAAACAGAAACACGAATGTTACGTATGAAGTCGCGACTATCGTGAGATTTTCTTCACGCACCTATGCGGCACAGAAGCGACACACACTTCGTATACATCGCAAATTTCACTCAACATTGATAAATCCACGAAATCTTAAATCAAGCGATTAAAGTTTTCATCTGAAAATGATCTGTTATTAACGTCCTTGCGCTAACTTTTTCTGCAATCTGCTCACAAGAGTCATCTATTTCAGTTCATTTGTCATTTACCACCAGCAACTTGAGCGTCGCGTCGTTGCTTCACGTGTACAGTACAAATACGAACGGCCGTTTCTTGCCGACTGACTTTTTCTGATAAATGTGCTCGACGAATGCTAAAGAACACGTCTCTCCTTCATTCCTTGACTTCTACGCTCCATCGTCCTGATAGTAGAAAATTCCTGCCTATTGCGAAGCCCTGCAATGCTTTGGCGACATCCAACCGAGTTTCTGGAACTCGGTGCACGTGCTCTGTTAACCTGATAATACAAAATAACAAGGGGAAGGAATACGCTTTTCTTGACTCGAGAAATGTTCCACATTTCACTATTACGAAATGAATAGTTACTCATTGAAAAGTTGCTCTGTGTCACGTACGTTTTTACTGTTACTAATAATCGGCAGTTATAAATTATTAACTTAATATTAGTATAGTTGCATTTTAACTAATCTTTATTTTCTGTTGTCTTTACTTTAATATAACAAGTACTTCATGTACTTTAACAATTTCAGTATACAGAACTGGCAAGTGTAAGTTTTCAAATATACGAACATATATTAAAAATGGACAGATATATGTTCTTATATTTATTAATATCCATAATACCAAGAATTGTGTTACGAAGAAGATAAGGAACGAGTACTGGGAGGAAAAGGAAGGATCCTTTTTCTACTAAAAATTCATATGTCCCGCGTGTATCAGAAAAATATAGACACGGATGTGATCTTTGAAAGCCAGAGAGACAAGGGTGTGATAACGCACGAGTTTGATTTATGAGTATGAGTTATAAAACTCTGAGTAGATATGGCTGCTACTTTATTCTATGTCGGGAAGATCGCCGCGATATAGATATTCGATCGAATGTTTTTTGAAATCTTACGAGACTTAAAACTTTAGTCGAGTTATTTAAAATAAGGTATTTGTTGCCAAACGATCGTAAAAATCTACAAGTTCTGTGATATTTTCGTATTTTTATGTGGAAACTATGAAGTAAAAGTTGTAATTTTAATGGCGAACGCGAGAGGATAGTACAAAGGGCGAAGAATCGAAGTTAAGGAATCTTGGAGCTTTCATGAAATCCTTTGAGTAAATCCTTTGCCATCGTAGAAAATTTCTCGCGTTTCACCTAAATATGAAGGTCTCTGGCAATGTTATGAAGAAGCCACGTCTTTTGTGATTTAACACCGGCGAAAACGGATCATCGAAGACGTTGCAAAGCCTTTTAGGCCGGATGCTGTCAAATTACAGAGGGTCGACCTGAATTCACCGTGTCAAACGTTTTTTTACCGAGAAACTATGTAAAATAAAAGACTGGCACACATATAGCGTTCACTTTTAAGTGCTACGTCCTGCACGTGACACTCGGTAGAAAGTTGAAAGGCAAAGCGGCAAACTTAGGTGTCGAAGTTCATCGATGACCTGGTTTAGAGTGTTTTTAATGAAACTGT